AAATGAAATAAATACTAATAATATCAAAAAGAAAGACAAACTGTAAAAAGGAGAATTCTGAATGATTATTAGATTGTCAGGAAATAAATTTAAAAACAATCAGCATTTTACATCTATTGTACCCAAATAGCTCAAAAACTGCATGCAAGCAAATATTTACATAATTATACTTTGCATAAAGTTGACAATGCTAGAGGCTTTATTCAGAATCTGATACTTTATTTTTTTTGCAGAATTTGAGATCCCTTTTTCCATTCTAGGGCTCGAAGTTTGTTCATATTGCTTATACTCATGAATACCCCAAGATCAACCAATCAGAGCCAGGTGCAAAAGAAACACTGTTAGAGGAAATGATGCCTCTGAACTCATTCTAAACTACGGTATTTGTTTTCAGTACCAGAACTGAGCTAAGCTTGCAGTCCTTTCACAAAAAAGTCAATTTCTGGTTATCCCGAGCTTTCTTCGTGTCAGTAGCCTGAAAAGGCATTTTGTTGCTGCTTTGTTAACAACAATTGGACACCAAAAAAACTCTGGTCCATCTACTGCAAATCACCCAAAGATCAAACAGTAACCCATCCCTCCTCTCCACAATTTGAATGAGGAAAGAAGGGAAATTTACAGGTAATCCCAAAGTGAGCAAATTATTCCAGTGAAATGGAAGAAGTCATGCAAATGTACATAATTTATTATTGTTGCACATTTGTTTGGGAAAGAAGAAAGGAAGATGACGGTCACTTGCAGGAGAAGCAGGTGTGCAAAGGCAGAAAATAAGGTTTGGCAGGAGCAGTATTATAGCAGTCATTTGTGCTTAGTAAAACATGTGTAAAGGTAAAGGTAAAGGTACCCCTGCCCGTACGGGCCAGTCGTGTCCGACTCTGGGGTTGCACTTAAGAGGCCGGGGGGCAGCGCTGTCCGAGTACACTTCCGGGTCACGTGGCCAGCGTGACAAGCTGCATCTGGCGAGCCAGCGCAGCACACGGAAACGCCGTTTACCTTCCCACTAGTAAGCGGTCCCTATTTATCTACTTGCACCCGGGGGTGCTTTCGAACTGCTAGGTTGGCAGGCGCTGGGACCGAGCAACAGGAACGCACCCTGCAGCGGGGATTCGAACCGCCGACCTGACGATCGGCAAGTCCTAGGCGCTGAGGTTTTACCCACAGCGCCACCCACGAGAAAAATATAATGTTGCATTGTTGGGCTGGTTGGATCCTGGGTTGTACTGTAGGCTCCTTTCTGGTGGAATGAAGATGTTTTCTTAGAGATTGCTCTCTGCCAAAGTCCATAAAGATACTACAAGGAATATGTGGAAGCTGGGATATTTAGTTCTTTGCATCCCTATGAGAAGATGTCTGAGACTATACTAGGACTCCAATTCTATGCACACCTAACTTAGAATAAGTCCCACTAAACACACTGCATGTTCATAGGCATAGGATTGCACCATAAAACTATTTCCCCCCCTTGGAAGTATAGTTTTGGCTCAGTTGTAATCGCTACAATAAACAAAATTCACTGAATATTTCCCAAATATCTATTGGTTTTTGATGAAACCATTTTTTCACATATGAAACAATATCTATTTTTCACAAATAAAATGAAGCCAGCATCCACTACAACTGGAGGATGGTGTGATGGTACAGAGCTGGTCTCTTGACCTCCCAAGCAGCTGAGTCACTGCTGCTTAACAGGAGGAAGAAGGTTGAAGGGATGTTGACATAGCAAAATGCAGAGCCAATCTAGTGCTCTTGCTGGTGTACTTGCACCATGCTGACCTTCCCAGCACCTTTCCCTTCTCCTTCCTGGTAGGCAGCAGTAAGTCATCTACTGGGAAGTCATTTGAGCTCCATCATGCTGTCCATTAATGCCCACTACCCTGTACAGTGGTACCTCGGGTTACATACGCTTCAGGTTACAGACTCCGCTAATCCAGAAATAGTGCTTCAGGTTAAGAACTTTGCTTCAGGATGAGAACAGAAATTGTGCTCTGGTGGCGCAGCGGCAGCGGGAGGCCACATTAGCTAAAGTGGTGCTTCAGGTTAAGAACAGTGTCAGGTTAAGAACAGACCTCCGGAACGAATTAAGTACTTAACCAGAGGTACCACTGTACTGTTTTAAGAATTGGTCTCTCTTGTTCTTGCTTCAATTACAGGTGCCAATCCATGAAAATGTCTGCAACACCTGCATTTAACACTGAGTGAATAGTAAAAAATCTATTTCTGAGACTAACTGGGTGGAACTTATCAGACAAGACTTTCCCCCCTTGACCTTTGTCATAGGGCCCATACAAGGAAAATAGTATAATAAACACCTATTCCCCAGAATGTAGAGGCATAAAACCAATGAACATTATTATTATTATTTTTGCTGTAAAGAGTGGCATCCTGTTTTTAAAGTGTATCATTTAAACATTTTTCTGCTTTAGTGCCTATGTGTGCAGAATGTTCAGATTTTTAAAAGACCAAAATGCTTTCAAGTATCATGGAGATGATGGATTTTGCTTTTCGTCAGAAAGGAAATCTTATGCACAATAAAGAGTAGCAGTATATGCAAGCAGTTCTATGCAAAACCAGAATTAAAAATGACGTTTTTAAAAAAATCTACATTTTTAATGTAACAATTCTTGTAGAAAATAACCAGTAACCAAGAACAGTGTATAAAATTCCGATTCTGTTTTTATTAGTATAAATTCCCTGAATTACTTTTATATGCTTTTATGCTACTTTTATGCTACTTTTGTGTTGAATTTCTGTTTTAATAATATTTTTAACAGCTTTTACATTGTACACAGCTTAGAGATCCTTAAAATATTAAGCAGTTTATAAATGCTTTAAATAAATAAATGAATGAATATCAATCAATGCTAATCAATGGATGATCAATGTGGACCTCTGGCTGGCCAGCTTAGATCCACCTGCAGGCAGAAAGAGGCTCTGAAGCCAGTTCATACAGGGGCACAGAATCAAGACTAGCTCAAAAGGAATTTTAGGAGAAAAGCACTTTGGGGGTTTAGGTGCTCATGGTGTTTTAGGACTGATGCTGATGTGACTCTATATGTGCTTGTTTTTGAGACCCTAAGACCTTGCCAGACTGAATTTTGTACATATCCAGATACAATAGAGGTACTGTGTGAGCTCTTGCGAAGTGAGCAGATGACCTGTTCTGGACAGGATCACTCTCCTCCGGAGTGATCAAGTTGGAAGTATTCATTGATCCTGGCTCACCATTTGAAACTCACATGCCTTCAGCTGCTAGGGGCACCCATGGCTAGTTCCAATCAGTTTGCCAGCTACAGCCCTTCCTGGACAGATATGGCTTTGTCACAGTGACCCATCCCCTCATAACCTTTAGACTAGACTTCTGTAATTGGGGCTGCCCTCAAGGATGGTTCAGAAGCTGCAACTGTTGAAGAATGCTGGCGAGAACTTCTGCCTGGGCACATAATTACACCAATCCTTAAGGGTCTGCACTTGTTCCCTGTGTGCTGGCAGCTCCACAATGCCCTGTAAAGTATGTGCATGAGAGGGCCTTTTCTGTGGTGGCTCCCAGGTTGTGGAATGCCCTTCCCTCTCATGTGCACCTGGCACAATCGTTGGATAAATTTTGTTTTACATTTGCCTTTGGGGGTAGAGCACGATCTCAGAGTTATCACTCCCGCTGCAGCACTGTTGCTAGTTTTGCTTGCTGTTTGATATGGGCTAATTTAGTGCTTTTATGCAGCACCTACTCTTTGCTTTAAGCTGTATGAAACCAACCATGAGACTGCAAGATGAAGAGTGGGCCATAACAGCATATAAAGACACTAACTAACTAACTAACTAACTAACTAACTAACTAACTACTGCTTGGGGCAAGCCCTTGAATGTTAGCCCACAGGCAGTCAGAGATGGTAAAAGATCTCCACAATCCTTGGCTGCTTTTGACAGCTTTGTTCATTCCGGAAAACCACAACGAGGCTTCTCCTGGCTGTTGGAGGCAAATATTCAGAACGGCAGGTAATGGAATCTTTGAATATCACATCTTAGGCCAAAAAGGCTTCCAAACAGGAGATATCCCAGAATGACCTTCTGAGAAGGTGAATTTGAGACTTTGCATTGCCTCCTCCTTCTTTGAGAAAACCCAACAAGGCTTATATCTGGGCCCAGGTCTCACCACCTTTGCTGGGATATTATTATTATTATTATTATTATTATTATTATTATTATTATTATTATTATTATTATTTGAATTTATATCCTATACCCGGAGGTCTCAGGGCAGTTCACTTAAAATAAAAATAAAAGCAATAACCCAATAATACCTCCCCCAAAAGAGCCACATTTTAAAAGGGTATGGGGTGTGGATCAGGTCAACCAAAGGCCTGGTTAAAAAGGAACATTTTTGCCTGGCACTTAAGAGGCGTATAATGAAGGCGCCAGGCGAACTTCCCTGGGGAGAGCATTCCACAGACAGGGAGCCACTGCAGAGAAGGCCTGTTCTTGTGTTGCCACCCTCTGGACCTCTTTATTAACATTAGAACACAACACCTACAATGAAAATACTAAAACCAGTTTGGGACCTTAAATAAGATGGGTTGGATCCAAAGGGTTCCCCTCTGATATATCCTTGTCGAATGTAATGCAAGAGAGACTATGCTTGGTAGCATGCGAAAGCATTGCCACTTGAGATTACATTTCAAAATGCTGGAGATACAGTGTGAGGCATATGACCTCAGATTTAAAAAGAAAAAAGGGTGGGATTTTCTCCTCTGTTTTCTGGGCATTCATTCTGAATCACCCTTAGTGAGCAACTCAGAGCTATCACGTTGCCATCCAAAGCTAGAAGGGCCTAGGTCAAAACAATGCTAGTTCTCTATGAGTCTGAGCCTAGATGCTTCTTTTTGAAATGACAATTTCCCCCATTGTTAACTCTTCCCTCTCCTCATGCATTAAACAAGGACTGTAACGATGTTTTAAAAGCAGTTGGGATGTGCCTCAACTGCGAAGATTTCCAAGTGACTTACCTTTGGATCTCTGAGAAAAAGAGCTCTCAAGATCAATGAGTGGACATCTCCAATTGGAGGATAATGCATCAGAAGTCCCAAGCAGGTCTGATAATTACTTGATATCACTAAAAGTAATAGGAAATATGATAAGATTTTTTTCTTCTCAGTTTGACATAAAAGTAATCACTCGAAGTACAATTTGCAGGGTTCTGAAAAAAATTATCGTCACCAAACAGTATACAGCTCCGCTATCCCTTTAGTTAAACATAGCCTCAAATGGTTGAGGGCTGATTTACAACTTTTGCTTTGTTTCCCAAACATGTTAATCCTAAAATTAGCTTAAAGGTAAAGGTCCCCTGACAGTTATGTCCAGTTGCAAACGATTCTGGGGTTGTGGTGCTCATCTCGCTTTACTGGCTGAGGGAGCCGGCGTACAGCTTCCGGGTCATGTGGCCAGCATGACTAAGCCGCTTCTGGCAAACCAGAGCAGCGCACGGAAACGCCGTTCACCTTCCTGCCAGAGCAGTACCTATTTATCTACTTGTACTTTGACGTGCTTTCAAACTGCTAGGTTGGCAGGAGCTGGGACCAAGCAATGGGAGCTCACCCCTTCGTGGGATTCGAACTGCTGACCTTCCGATTGGCAAGCCCTAGGCTCTGTGGTTTAGACCACAGCACCACCCACATCCCTTCTAAATTAGCTTAGAGAACCACTTATTGCCCCCTCCTAAAAGCTTGCTACATATTTTAATAGGATGTATTAAATTTCCATTATCTAACCTCCGTCTAGTTAGCACACAACTGTCCCTTTCTGGGTATGTGATGAACTTAATTATGGGTGAAATTAAATAAATCTTTTCTGCCAAGACTATGTAAACTACTTCATTTCTTTAGCACCATCTAAATCTTGGCAATCCATCTACTGGAGCTGTCAAAGGAGTGCCAATTATTTTTGAATTGTTCGCCTAAATTGCTAATAATAATAAAAAAACTATTTTAGATAGTGCAACTTTACAGTTTTGAGAACTTCAGTTTTAGAAATAATATCATTTTTATTAATTAAAAGCCTTTGTGAAAAATGTTCTTGCAACACAAGGCAAAAATCATTGATAAAAATAGAAATCCAAAATATATTGACTGCTTTATGGCCTTAGAGACTTACTAAACAGCATCCCTGCACCCGCTTCCATGTGAGTCAATCTCATATCCTTTGGTACCTTCCCATCTCTCCCTGAAGAGGTTTATGAGGAAAAGATTCAGGACTGGGCAAAATGAATAATTATAATCTGTGTAGGGAGCCACTTTATCATCTTCATTTCCGTTGCTGATCCGACAGCTTGTAATTTTATACATCTGCTTTCATTTGTAAAGCACTCACTTATCCTACTCATTTTTTATCTGTTCTGCCTGTTTCTTTTTCTTTCCTTTTGTTTTTCTTGTTCATGTTCAGATACCTGCTTTTCTCTCTTCTCTTTGAAGTTAGCATAATGAATGCAATACAATGGGCTCAGTCAAGAGTTCTTTCTGCCGAGTATAATAGATGGGACCACGCATTATATAGAACCAATCAAATCAAACGTAACACAGTATAAGGCAGTTGTGATAAGGATTCTTTATACTTTCTTAAAATAAATAAGAATGCTGGGAGTAGTTCATCCTAAATGGATTTTGTAAGACAACATCTGATGTATTTTCTTCAAACATACCTTTTAACACTCTAACTGAAGCCAGATTTTAGACTTTTTATTTGTTTCTTTTTTGGAAAAAAGGACTAAGTGTGATTTGATTCAATAATGAGCATTAAAATATTGATCGTAGGTATTTGCAATTATAAATTATAGGTAAATGCAACAAACAGAAGAAATGAAACTTCTCTATTATGTGACCAAAACCAACCTATTATCTTAAACAGGGGGTGGCAAATGGGAGGTGGAAACTTTTTGGGGTCTTTTTTTGTGATAGCTACTTTCCTTACATGTGTAAGACAAAAACAGACACTCCTTTATATAATACTTTGTTCTAGTTCTATTTCATCTTCAAGGTTGAAAAAAAAGAAACCCTTATGAATTCAAATTGACAGAAACAGTATGTTGCAACATCAGTGGAGTGAAGCTGATACATTTGGAAACCAGAATCATTTCTCATTTATATCAGTTTTTTGAAAGATATAGGCAAATATCTGAAAATATAGCTTTTCGGGGGGGGGGGATATTTCTACTACAAAGTTCTTTTTGAAAAACAAAGACATCTAGCTCATAAGTGAGCAATTACCGGTATATGTCTAGAAGGCTTAAAACATCCTAAGAATAGTAGTATTGGTGCGGAGGAAAATTAAAAATGCAAACTTCTAACTCTAGATTAACTAATCTGGGAAGACTATGGTTTTAGAAACACGGCATTTAGACATCATTTGCAATCTCCACTACCTATATAATTTTATTTTTTTTAAAAATATTCAGATTAAGAGAATAATTAAATCACTTATAACTTACGTGCCAAAAGCATTAACAGTTTAAATTAAGGCACTCTTGGCTAACTCCTGCACCACAGCATACACTCTACAACAGAGGTAGCCAATGTGGGGCCCTCCAGATACTGTGGTCTATGACTCTCATAATCCTTGACCACTGGCCATGCTAGCTAGGGATAATGGGAGTTGTAGCCCACAACAACTGGAAGGCTCCACCATGGCTAGTCCCATTTTACAGTTTGACCCATAGTAAAGGTAAAGGTAAAGGGACCCCTGACCATTAGGTCCAGTCGTGGCAGACTCTGGGGTTGCGGTGCTCATCTTGCTTTATTGGATGAGGGAGCCGGCGTAAAGCTTCTGGGTCATGTGGCCAGCATGACTAAGCTGCTTCTGGCGAACCAGAGCAGCGCACGGAAATGCTGTTTAACCATAGTACTCGCTTACAAATTAGCCTCCATACACTCACATTTCCATTAGGTCTTTTAGTCATAATCCTTTTCCTCTGCAAGTTGAGAGGCACTATAGTGCAGGACTCTATGAGGCAGTGGTCATCTAGCTGCACACTGCTTTCCTTATATGCTTTCACATTTGGGTTAGAGAGAAAGAGTGAAAGTGAGAGAGAGATGCAAGATTGGAACCAGACGAGCATTGGTGCAAGTGTCTGTTTCATCATAAGGTGGCCCAAGCAAACAAGTGAAAGGAGAAAACAGGTCCTACATTTATTTATTTATTATTAATTATTAATACTTTTTATACTGTCTCTCACATCAGTCTAGAGGTGGTGTATTAGATATAAAAAACCTACATCAATAAAATCTTAACACAGTATAATAAATAAAAACAGGTGGCTAAACTGTTTTAGAAAAAAATACCTTAGAAAGACATATATTTTTATTCACATGGTAATATAAACTTGATTTTCTTTTTCATTTATTAGGATTTGAGAGGTGCTTAGGCTATGGGAAGGAGCTTGTGGAAGGTCATCTTGCCTTACAGGACCACTAGTAAAACAAATCTAAAAAGCTCTGTTGGGCTCACAGAACGACTTTTATGATACTTTGGGCCATGGGCTCTATTTACAGCCTGCTTGATCATTTAGTCCCATGAAAGACTGTAATAGTATATATATATATTTAAGCATTCCATTTATTCCATAGTTCTGGCAGTTTAAAAAAGCCACTTCCTTATTAACTATTGCAAGTGATGTAAAAAAAATATTTAAGGGAACAACTCTCTTCATAAGAAACAGCTCAGTGAGGAACTAATCAAGCTCAGAAGCTATGGAACATTAATTGATAATTGGAAAATAAAACCTGAAAGTAAGTGATGGCAGTGGGACGGAATGGAGTATCCTGAAGGTGGGGATGGCTGGAACCCCTGAACAGCTTCAGTACTGTTAGAAGATGAAGATACACAGCAACATTTTGTTGCAGGTTCCTCTTAGATGGGATGTATTGTTTTTGTACCAGTGGTACTAGATTGAATGCTGATATTTATATATTTACACAATTCTTCTGAACTGCTTTGCGGTTCCTTACAGGGAATCAGATTGTAAATTCCAAAGTAATAAGGGTCTGGTCCAGCCTTTTGAAGGTCATGTATCTACGTATGGAACTTCATAGGACACAGACACAAAAAAGGCCAAAAGGTCCCTTGCAGATTGCAACTGCCTCACTTAGAGGTCTTTTTACAGTTGCTGCCATATGCTACCCCAATGCACTGTTCCCCTTTAGAACAGTGCTAAGGCCTTGTGCAGAAAAGCCTTGGGATGAACTGGAAAAGAAGAGAAAAGAAAGAACACTTGATAGTTTCAAAATTCTGGTGGTTGTAGAAAAATGGATTAGCATCAATTCAATGTCCTCTATATAAAAAAGAAAGAACAGCAACAAAAAACAAACAAACTGGAAAAAGCCCATTTTTAAATGGTTTCAGGAATTTCAGTCCAAATGCTTTTTTTGGGCCAACCTCAAGATCTTAGATCATTGGGAATGGAGCATTTGAGGCAACAGAGTCTATCAAAGAATCAAGTGTGAATAATTGTTTGCAAGATTTGGCTCTCAGGTAGTACCCACAGGTGTGCTGGAGACTTCTGCATGATTCCTGCAAGTCAGCTAACGCACACAAAATCTTTAAAGGCTTATTCACAAAGACTTCACAGACTTTTGCAGTTGGAATGTTACCAGATGCATACAAATTTGCCCTGGAAAGGTGGGCTGACTTTAAAATACAATCTACTGGAAGGCCTGGTTATTGATAACCATAATTTGCTTAATTTACCTTTTTGTGGTTCTGCATGTCTCTCAACTAATTAGGATAAATTGAGGGTTTTATTACAAATTTATTTCATTTACTTTTTTACCTTCCCAAGTATTCTCTACTTCCTACTTGCTTAATAGAGATTTTGCTTTAGAGTAAATCTCCACATAGTTATCTATATGAAAATCAAAGTTTTGTTCTAAACATTCCCCTGAAATTGTGTGTTAATTAATTTTATGAGACTCTAATACACATAAAAAATAATTTAAGTGCTCATGTGACATAGATAAACGCAAAATAAAATAAAATAAAATGCAGAGAATTTTTGTAAAAAGTATATTTGCTTTTAATACATTTTCCCTTATTTTAGAAATCCATAAAATATGTCAGTTGTGAATGTATAGTTTTACTCAATACACTACATGTGACAGAAGGTGGAGCTCTATACTTACCTTGGCCACTTTGTTTTATGCAATGCAATCTACACTTCTGTGTTTTAAAAGAGGCATAGCAGGAGGAAGAACATCCCAAAAACCAAAATGTGCTTTTAAGTTGTTGCTTTCTTATATCTTATAAACAACTTCAAACAACTTCCAATCAAAAATTTTTATTTCAATTAGAAATATATTGCATTAATATATATATATATATAGGCTATATGTATAATGTAATGCATACTCACAGGCATCTCTAATGTATAGCAGCATGGCTAAGAAAACATAGTCAACGAGATTGAGAGTGATGCTGTCAGCAAATAAAGCATCCCAGATGACAAGAAGGTCCTGGAGGGGAAATTCTCGCCCAAATAGAAGCCTTACCCATCGCCTGCAAATAAAGTCAACAAAACATATCAAAAGTTGAACCAAAAAGATCAGGAATTAATAGTTTACAGGGAAATCCAACACACAGTAACTTATGATTAAAATTAATATAGAAATGTTTACGATGTTCTACATTGTATCTTAACCTGGTTATAGAAGGAAGTGCGTGAAAGACTTTAAAAACTCTAGCTCTCTAATGTTGTTTAGCAGATCGGCTTTATTAGAAAAGCTTTGTCCCAGTTTACTTATCATTTCAGCTTTATAAGCAAATGAAAGAAGCAGCTGCAATAACAACTCCAAAAAAGTCCGTGGATGAGCTCAGCTGTAACAGGTTTCAGTGGAACTGAACAGACTTCAATGGAGAGCACCTTCCTTTTGATTTAAAAGAACTTAAACGTCTGAACTGAACCCATAATCTTAAAATGGCATTAAGAGAAACCACTGGGCACTTAAGATTATAAATTTTACTTTAAGGATTTAGCTGTAACTGACATCTGGTTAAACAACACTAGGTGCAAGACGGAGTAACTTTCAACGAGGGTTTATTTTGTTGTGTGCGTATTAGGAGTAATAAGCACTTCATGAAGAATACAGAAAAAAGACAATAATGTGGAATTTTAAACGTATCTCACAGTAGCTTTCCTTTAGCTCCCTATGAATATCTACTTCTGAAATTTGAAGAGGTGCTACAATAGGGGAAGCAGGGGAAACATGGAGCAAAGCTAATTTTGCACAATTAATTCTAACAACATTATGTGCAAGGTGTTTTACCCAATAGTGGGAAATTACCCCTCAGTGACAAGCCTACAGGAAACTATTACCTTTCAGTGTCGCAAACATTACTCAGACTCTGCAGGAAGCCTATCGCTTTAAGTAGCACTTGCTCCTTCCCTTAACCCACCCACCCACCCACCTTCACATTTCACAAACTGTTAAGAGTCATAACTCAGCAATGCTTGATGCATTTGAGCTGACATTATTCACAAACGACCTCATGCAATTCAGGACAGAGGATGGATAAAACTAATACACTTAAAGGCGAAAAATACACCATGGCATAATGGGATTTGTTATTAGTCTTTTATCAGAAATCTCCTTTTCTTCATTACCACTTCATTATGCAGTGTTAATCGTTTGTAAATGTAGGATTCTACTGCTCAAACCAAAATCAGCTTCCCCGCTTTCTTCTTCTATTCTCCTTTTAGAAATTCTCTTGGGAATATTAAGTCTTAGTCCCCAGAGGTATTCTGTTTTCACAGATGCAGACAGCTGACGAACTGGACTGCTTTAGTAACCATAATGCTGCCATTAATGATCTGAACCTCTGTGTCTCAATGGGTGTAAGCAATTCACACAACTGAAAATGGATGTATACTAACTGCTATCTGTTCTTTTCCAGCAACATTTCCCTTGTAGCAGCCATAAACCAAGGACCCTATTGTCTCTGAACTATGTTAACCATATGGCTTGACTTCAGCAAGTTTGCCTTCATAAAAAGGGATGCTTTAAGGAATTAAGTTCTAAGTTGGAGTGTTTTCTTACTAATTAACACTCTTTTATTGCTCTTTCAAATATTTAGAGACAATCTAAGTTTCACTTAATGATACTGTTGGACAAGAGGAGCCCCTTTCTTTTCAGATGGCTGTCTATAGTTTAATTATAGCCCTGTCCTGTTAATTTCAGCCTCACATCTGCTACACCTGCAGACTACTATGCTCACAACGGTGTACCCTTTTATCACATTCGGTAACACAATAATCTGTATTTTACCACACCGACATAGCAATTGCAACCAACTGCAAATACAGAAGGGAGTTTTTAAAGCAATAATAAATATAAGAGTTACTACAATCTCCTTGCTGAAATGCATAGCCCCATGTTCTACACATGATTTCTATGTAATTAAACCATAATCCCCAAACAATCTGTAATTACTACCCACAGACAGTGGTTTAATAATGACCTGCAACACAGAGAAACAAATGCTTTGGAAACTTTAAACTACACGAGTGACATATTTTTAAAATCAAATTTAAACTTTAAAAGGAAATAATTTTTATTAAGAGTTCCTGGGAACAACATCTTCCTGGAACCTCAGAGAGATGCTTCCCATCAGGGTAAACAGATAATACTGGACTCAAAGGACCAATGATTTGACTCAGTATAAGGAACTAAACCTCTGCATAGGTTATTTTTTGGTGGTGGAGGGGGGAACCTAATAAGTCATGCATTGCCTTATCTGCGTAAACTATTTCTATTCTGACTGAGTATAACAAGCATTTCAGATACAGCTTGCTGTTTTCTGTACTACATCCATAATCTTTTTCAAGAATGGTCCCACAAAAAGCTGAAGGGTTGAGGTTTCAAAGGCAGAGACGACTGTCCTTTAGGGTCTTAGCCCTCCATAAGGGGGCATGTCTGGGAAATCAAGTGGGGCTGATGTCTTGACCTGAGATTCAAGGTATTCTGAACCTGCTCTTAACATGCCTTTCTCCCACAATACGTCTCTCTCGTTCCCTTAAACATTTTAAGCCAACCACAACCCCTTCCACGTTACGCAATTCACTTTCCTTTGCAAATTTAATGGACTCTGCAAGGTAAGAACACACTGCTAACATAGGCAGTACAGTAACAGCAAAGAGATTCTGCATAACAAGTTTCCATCATCAGCTTCCATGTCATTCACAAGCACAGACTCTACACCAATCGTTGATCAATTTGCATCTGGAAAAGTCTACTACCAATATACGGTAGGTGAGGTCTTCCATGCTAGTGACACCAGATACCTGCTAAGCACACATTCATTTTTTGCGGGGAGAGCAGGTAACAAACCTTTATCTAAAATGTTTTTCCAATTTGGACTGGGGTGCCCCTGAGCTTTGCTTTCCTCCCCACAAGGTAAACAACACTTGGGGAGTGGGGAAAAGCAACCAGCAGCCAGGAGGGAGAATACACATTCATTCAAATGTCGTTTAGTCTTCAGTGGAACCAGGCATACAATGTCCTTGTTTTTGTGATGCTCAACACCGGCTCGTTTCCATATTCTTCATTTATGTATGATCTAATCTATTTTTAATATTGACTTCCCCCCAACTCATCCCACGTGCACTTGTTATAGTTCAAAGTATCTATTCCAAAACGGGTAAATAATAATAATATTCTGTAAAAAACATCACCAGAAAAATAAAAATAGCATGCAATAGAGAAACCTTCACTTCCAACGCTTACACAAAATAAATACATGAAATCACTAAGAACTCAAATTCTATAACAGAAAGCTAACTCATATGTACCGAGATAGATTAAAGGAGGATAGGTCTAACAATAGCTAATTAGACATGCTAGTTAAATGGAACCCCTTTCTTTGGGAGCAGTCTACACTTAAATGCCAGTTGATTTGGGGGTGGGGGTGGCAAAAGCATGGGGAGAGTGGGCTTACTAGGAAAAGTGTGATTGGCCACTGTGGAAAACAGGGTGGTGAATGAGAGGTTTTATTTATTTATAATAAAATAAAAATGTGTATCCCACTCTTCCTCCCAAAGGAGCCCAGGACAGCAAACACATCAGTGATAAAACAATGCAATTCTTGGCCTGATCTAGCCGAGCTCTTATGTATATCACGTAAATAGTACAGATGGTTTATACTGCCTACAATTTAGGCTTCACGCACCCATATTTTGCCTTTCTCCCTCTCTTTTTCTCTCCAGTCCTCTTCCACTGCATTTGAACTGGTGTCATTGTTATATAAATGTTTAATAAGAATTTGTTTACAAGTTGAAATTAATGACCCAGAATGCCCAGTGGAAGGAACAGATTCATCAGCGATGCCAATTTGGAAATAAATTCTACTGCCATTCGCAGATCCCACTAACTAGCTTTGAAAGAATACAATGAAGCCGTATCTGTGGAATGTGGAGTGTGGGCAGAGGATGTCATGTGAAAGGTTGGTGCCCAGGAGAGTTTATGGAATGGATGAAATAACAGGGAGGAGTCTCCAGTGATTGGCACAGAAACAAGGAACTGTGTGAAATGATAGGATATGTGGAATGCCAATTGTTTTGTGAAAGAAAAATGTTATTGAGAGGAGGAATAAGAAACCATGGGAAGCATGGGAAGCACAATTATTTCACCCATAGCTAACACCCTACGTTTAACTCAATATCGCTTCCTGTTACTGTCCTCACCCATATATGTATAATATAGCCCTCCCACCCCGGCTGAGCTTCGTCCAACCTGACATGTGCTTCTACCTTACCATCACACATCCAACTCTCACTCCCCAAGCAACAGCACACATACATTTTTGACCATGCATATCCTCTAAAACTTGCTGATGAGTATGCAACACGTACCTCTCAGTTTTGCTACTGATTTTTTTAGTATGTTTTAGCTTTACTCTGATAGTCATATCTGGGCTTTACTGTGATGGTGGCTGAAATGTGTATATTGTCCTTCATCTGAATATCCCAGGGTGGTTCACAACATTTATACATTCTTAAACATTTATACTGTGCTTTTCGTTATACAATAAATTCAAAGTGACTTACATACAAATTTAAGACAAAGCTCCAAAGCCCAACACCTAAGAAACAAAACTGCACAAATCGTAAGTGATCAAACCATGTTTGGGAGGGAGCGTTCATATAACTAGTTTTAATTCATGGTTTGTTTTAGTATTACTATAAAGCACTTTAAGAGATCGCCTGGACCCCACCCGAGAATCAACATCTCTCTGTGTGTGTTTCAAATATACTCTCCACGCCTACCTGTCTTGCATTCTTTAACCTGGTGTGCCAGCCAGGTGAGTGGGGCAGGGGGCGTAATGCCCCCTGCATGACACAGAAATCACGTCCCGCCCACAACACCTCCCCTCTTGGATGAGGAGAGGCCTTCTCCAAGAACAGCCCCACACTGTCTGGTTGTGTACCATAATACACTTCCTAAAATGTCTGGTTGACGCCTACCTTCTCTCCCCCAACCTCTATTTATCAGCTTTGTGATGTC